TCTAGGAGAAGAGTGAATGATGGAGCTGTTTCCAATCCAACAGTGATACCAGTGGGACAGTAATATAATGTACATTTCCTTATACTTCCCTTTTTGCCTTGGCTGTTAAGAAGCTTACAGGTAAATTGAGACTCAATTGTCATGCAAGAATTAGCTCAAAATTTTCTCTCAGAAACAAATAATGTTTTGTGAAAGTCCCTAGCACCCTGTCTGAGACACGGAGGAAGTTCAAAATTAAACAGTAATATGCAAATAGTCTTGGATTTGATTGTAGCTTTGCCATTTTTAGGGTAAACTACCTCATATCCTCTTCGGAGGCAGGGGGAACATCAAACGGTTTTGATTTTTATTACTAGAAAAATAATATTATTCGTAAGAGCCCAACGTGGAAACAACCCAACTGTCCATCAACTGATACATGGATAAACAAAATGTATATATCCATACCATGGACTATTATTAGGCAATAAAAAGAAATGAAGTTCTGACACATGCTACAACATCGATGGTCCTCGAGAGCACTACGCTACATGAAAGAAGCCAGTCACTAAAGACCACAAATTGTATGATTCCATTTACATGAAATGTCCAGAATGGGCAAATTCGTGGAGACAGAAAGTAGACTGGTGTTTGCCTAGGGCTGGGGGATTGGGCGGGGCTGAGGAGTGACTGTGAATGGGTGTGAAGTTTCTATTTGGGGTCATGAAAATGGTGGTGGTGATGGATGTACAGCTCTTTGAATAGAACAAAAATCATTGAATTGCACTTTAAGTGGGTGAATTGTATGGTATGTGAATTATACTTCAATAAAGCTACTAACATTGATTAATTAGAGTAAGAGCACCCCTGGCTCTCTGATGACGTCATGACTGGACAGGCCAATCAGAGTGGGTGTGAATCAAAAGCCAGCTTTGATTGGACATGAATAACAGGTCCTCCATCTCTCTCTCCCTTCTCTCTTCATCCCTTCCTCCCTCCCTTCTTCACTTAAGTCTTTTCTCAGCATTCTTCTGGAGACCCCCACCCAGAGATAAAGTAGACAGGGCGTTCCTCCTCAAGGAGTAGAGCAGGGTGGAGAGGAGGTGTGGAAAGGATGAGCACAGTCGAGACTGAACGTAACTTCCTCGGCACAGATCGAGTCTCCTGTGGATTCTGGCAAAACAGATCGTCTTTGTGTAGAGGAACATCTTTTGTCACAGCAAATGCTGTTCTATTTCTTCATTCGTACATGAATTCAACAGACAGTTACTGTGCGTGGTGCAGAGGATACAGAGATGAATAAGAGAGTGCATCCCCAAGGGGTGGGTGGGGCACGTGACTCAACTGTGGTAGCTCAGCGGGGTAGGGGCTGGAAGGGGGCTGCTGGCGCAGGGGGGGCGATGGCGTTAGGGGTGGGGCAGGTGGGCCTGCGAAGCGTCTTGCGCCGTCAGCGCTGCTTGGCTTGGCAAAGCAGCCCAGAGACCTTGTAGAGGTCTCAGTTTGGGACAGGCCACGCAGCTTTCCTGGCCCGTTCCTGGCCTCACCGAGGCAGAGGGCAGCTTGGCGGCCTCACCCCGGGTCAGGGGATCTGCTGCAAACTCCTGGCTGGGAGCGGCTCGAGGCCGGAGGGGCTCCTGCGCTGGGGCACGGACCTTCCTCTGGCCCAGGTGAGGCGGCCCTGCTCCTCAGAGCTGACCGGTTCACCGCTTGCACTCGGGAGACAGGACAGGAGCGCGGTCCCCGGGGAGCGTCTGCACGCGGGAAGGCTCGCCGGCAGACGCGAGGCGCTGTGCGGGAGGTTCGCCGCTAGAGGGAGCGCCGCGTCGTTCTCCGTCACCCGCGCTGGGCTCCCGGCTGAAGCCAGGCTGGGCGGCAGCCAGGGCTCGGGGGGCGGTTCCTGGGAAACTCATTCTTTGGCCCTTTCCCATTTAAAGATTTCTCAGGAGCAGCTGGGCTCAACCATCCTTAGTGTTGTTTGTCAGGAATTCGCAGAGCCCTTGAGTCCCGGATGCGGCCACAAGCCTGTTGCAAACCCTGGGGCGGCTGCGGCAGGGATTCTGGTAGCTCACAGAAGCTGTCCTTTGCTCCCCTCACCCGAGGACCTGGGAAAAGGCCTCTGTTTGTCCCCCGTGGGCAGTCTGGACTGGCCCTCAGAGCTGCAAAGGACGGGCCCCTGGGTTCTGGGCAGTGCCTCAGCTCCGTGCCACCTGGAAAAAAGTTTAATGCTTCATAGGAGGGCGAGATGGGGAGCAGGGCTTAGGAAGAAGTGAGGCCGGGCTGGTAGGACGTGTCGCTGGTATGAAGACCTGGGGACATGGTACGCTGTCTCCCGATGTCTCAGACGTGGAGCAGTGCAGCTGATGGGCACGGTGGGCAGGGTCAGAGGGGCAGCACCGAAATTTCGCAAGAATGGCTCAGCTGCGGCTCTTCTGGCATGGCCCTTAAGTCAAGGGCAGCAGAAGTTTACTTGTGGATGCCCCTAATTCCTGCCCTGAGGGGCACCCATAGGTTCAGGTCAGGCTGGCCTCCTGTGGTGACAGCTGATGGCTGCCATCTTTGAAGGCAGGGCTGGGACAGGACGGGGAGTGCAGGGAATAAGCCCTGGTCCTTGGGCACCACCATCATGGCCACTAAGATCTTGGGCCACATCCTCGACCTCTTCTGACCCAGGTCCTGCTGATGGTGCAGGAGGCTTAGGGCTGTTTTCTCTCTCCAGCGTTGACTCCTGGGTCTGGTAGGCAGACCATCCTTTGCAGCCCCTGGGTACAGGCAGTAGGGGTACGAACTGGGGACCGACGTGCTGCAGGGAGCCAGGGCACCATCTGCAGTGGGAGCAGGTCAGAGCTGGCTTGCTGAGGCTCCTGTCACTGCCGTGGTTAATGCTGGTGATTACCATGGTTACCCGAGGCTGGAAGCTCTGACAGGCAAAGGCAGAGCAGGAGAAGGATGTCCTCTCCCTGCTCGGAGCCACATGATTGCCTCTGCCTCCCAGGCAGTATTCTCCTGGCAAATATAAGAGCCTGGACCAGGGAAGTCATTCTGCCATGGTTCAGCCGATCCATGCATCATTGATCACCAAGCATCGGGGGCCTTTGGGGAGCCCTGTCCTGAGCACATTCAGCGTGAGGGAAGCAGAGGGAGTGTCTGGACCCTGCCCTCAGTCTGCTCAGTCTTGGGAGGACAGAGAAAGAGGAAGAAATGGTTTTCGGGTCCTCTGGGAGCTCAGAGTCAGAGGAGGGAAGGAAGCAGTTAGAGGAATAGGTGGAGAATTCAGCATAGACTCTTGAGGATACAGCCATGACCTTCTGGGCCTGTGCTTCCAGTACCAGCTTGAGGCTGTGACTGCACCCCCTCCAAATAGGGCAGTGGCCGGGGAGTCAGGACACCTGCTCTGCCAGTGGTTATGAGCTCCAGCTCCTGCTGGGTCCTGGTTTCTCCATCTGCAAAATGGGAATAATGATTACTAATCCCCCATCTACTTCAAGCCTGTGGGGAGGAGTTTTTAAATGAATAATTTTGTGCATTGAAATGAGCCAACAGATTTCAAGTCTTTGGAGAAAAGACCTTATTTATTATCATCATCAACTCACTGAGCAGAAATTCCATTTGCCTCCTTTGCCCCCTCTCCAGTGCTGCATGAACTGAGAGCCATAGTACCTCGGTGAGATGACAGGGCTCTGCACAGCCACCCAAATCCTAGCCCTGGGGATTCCTGGGGGACTGGGGAGGCCGGCTAGGGCTTCCTGTGAGCTCCGACGGGATTCCAGGGCCAAGAGCAGAGCAGGAACTTCATGTCCAAACACTACAGCAGAAGTCTGAAGCTTCTCCACCAGGATGCCTAGCCTGGGGTGTGAGAGCTGGGAAAGGAGGAGGCCTGCTCTGAAACTCTTTTTCTTTGGTTCATTATCATTACATGTTGACTTGCAAAATGAGAAAAGAGAGATAAGCAAGAAGAAAGACAGAGAATGAAGAAAGAAAAGTAAATCACTTAAATTAATTAAATTCTGATACTCAATTCTGGTAAAATGTCTAACACAGAAGGTCCCCATAAATATCCAAGGGAATGAATGAACTCAGAAAACTGTGATCTGTCTGATAAATATCTGCTAAAGTTTTAAAAATATAAAGATTATATTTTTAAAGAAAAAAACCTGATGTGAATTTGGGTTCACTGCTAAATTGCGAGGAGGGTATGGAGGGTTCCCACATACTCCCTGCCCTGCACCTGCACAGCCTCCGCCATGATCACCAGAGGGGACATTTGTTACAGCTAATGAACTGCCACTGACTCATCATTATTACCCAAAGCCCATGGCTCACATTAGGGTTCACTCTTGGTGTTGTACATTCTGTGGATTTGGAAACACATATAATGACATGCACCCCCTCTTACAGTATCATACAGAGTTTCACTGCCCTAAAAATCCCCTGTGTTCTGTCAGACTTTTTTCACCTCTGTTTATATGCACATATAAATACTCTGCCCCTTATAGTAATAAATAATATATTTTTAAAGATAGGATTATACCATACATATTGATTGAAAACCTGTTTTCTCTCTGAAAAATGTAATGAGGATAAGAAGTTTGAAACACCTCCTTCTCGATAATTTGGGTTTGACCCTTGAAGTCTTTGTGTTATTCAGACAAGACCAGGAGGCTGGAGTAAGGAAGAAGGATACAACGGGACAAAGGAGAGAGTACCCCTGAGGTTGGGCGGGGAGGAAGCAGAGAAAAGCAAGGGGTGAGTTGGAGCATCCTTCAGTTGCATGGCGCTCTCTTTATCTCTGTCCCCCACAAAAGCTGTGCCCGCCTCCAGGTGTGGGTCTCAGTCATTACTTCCTTTTCCAGAGCTCCTGGCTCCTTGGGGGAGATCACTCACTGAAAACAAGAAGTGTTCTGGGGAAGATACATCTGTATCAATATCTCTATCTGTCTATACATCTGTATCTATAGATATCTATATACCTATATGTATCTAAATATCTCTATTTCTGTCTCTTTTTTTTGGTCAGGTGAGCCTTGCCTGGCCTTCCTTGGCTCCTAGCAAATCAGCAGGTGTCTCCTGCATATCTAAGAGCCTTCCTGCACATGGGCTCAGGAGAGAGTCCCAGGTAACTCTAAGCCTCTAATTGTCCACAGAATCTCCTCTGCCTGTTTCATCTATGCTGACAGCTTCTCCTTTATCCCCCCGGGTCAGATTCTTAAGTGTCCTTGCCCACTCAGCTGTGCTCGAAGGGCCCCCTACTTCCTCACTAGTCCTCTGGTCTCTGCCCATCCTGTCTGCATGGTCCAGACCCGTGCAGTGACCCACGGGGATGGCTGGTGGAGAAGGTGGAAGCAGTGCTACCCCACTGGGCAGAGCACCAGCCCACCAAGCAGGGGTCACACAGACATGTTGGTGAGTCTGGCAGAAGCAGGGCACAGAGACCTCTTCCTCCCAGTCAGACAAGACTCCAGGGGTTTCTGGCTGATTGCAGGCAGGCTCCAGCTCATCTGGTTAGGACAGTGCTTTGCATTTCTGTTTCCCAAGGGTGAAGTTTTATATCCCTGTTGCTCATCACCCAGGATCTGTTCCTCAACATTGGGCTGGGTGTTTAGGAAGATGAACCACTTGTTCCTGAAAATCATGGTTGCTGAAGGCTCTGCTTTTACAGTTCTTCTGTCAGATTTTTATACTTTTTCTATCTCAGTTGATGTGCCCGAGGGCTCTGCTGTTCACCCATTAGAGTCACATTTCCTCCTGGTCTGGCCTGTGCTGGTGGCACAGAGCTGCAAGGAAAATCTGGCTGTTGGCCGACAGGCTGGACCAAGGGGCCTAAATTTACAAAGAGAAACTCATTTGGGACAGACATCAAGTTCTCTGGCTGGGCCTTCTCTCCACAAAGGACTGCACCGATCCATGTGCACGGATGCACACACTCAGGTGCACACACTCGGATGTACACACTTGGATGCAAACACTCGGAATGCCAGGGATGCTGCTGAAGATCCACGTCATGTGCCCTTTGCTGCTTAAAGCACGTCAGTGTCTTCCTGCTGTGCTCAGAATAAACTCTGCTCCCTTCACGGCCAAGCAGACCTACTGACACTCTGCCTGCTCTTTGTGCCCCCTTCGCCACTCACCAGGCCTGGCCACCCGGACTACCTTCACATCTCCATCCTTCATCCTGCAGGCCCGCATCCTGCCCAGTCGGCTTCCAGGGCTCCTCCCTGCCATCTTCCTGTCGGCCTTCTCCCCAGGCTTCAGGATTCACCTCTTTGGAGGGGCCTTCCCTGGCCACCGTATCTCGTACAGCTTTCCCTTTTCCCTCCTCCCATTATCTATTCTTTATCTTCATAGTATGTATTTCCATTTTCTTAGTTTTTGGTCTGTTTACTTATTTATTTATTTATTTATTTATTGCGGTACGCAGGCCTCTCACTGTTGTGGCCTCTCCCGTTGCAGAGCACAGGCTCCGGACGCGCAGGCTCAGCGGCCATGGCTCATGGGCCAATCTGCTCCGCGGCATGTGGGATCTTCCCAGACCGGCGTATGAACCTGTGTCCCCTGCATCGGCAGGCGGACTCTCAACCACTGCGCCACCAGGGAAGCCCCCTCTTTACTTATTTCTTATCTGTCTCTCCAAGTAGCCTCCACGAGAGCCGGAACTACGTACGTCAACCTTGTTGACCACAGTGTCCCCAGCACCTCGCAGGATGCAGGCTGTATCCTAAGCACTCCATGACTGGTTGACTGATGAATGGTTTAGCAACACATGTAAGACTGTTTCGACTTGAGAGGACTTTAAGCTCAACCTGAGGAAGACATATGAGTGGTTCCTGTCGGGTGGATGCTGGCTCAGAATGGGGGAGAGGATCGCCTTGCTCTGCTTATACAAATGTTGTGGTTCTGGAGCTCTGGTTCCCAACATGAGAAGTGCATTAACACATAGCACATGCCTGGAGGAAACTGTGACTCAAAACCATGGGCTTTGAGTGAAAGACACCCAGGGCCTTTCACTTGGAGAAGAGAAGGCTTAGGGGATACCTAAGAGCTGGCCACTGACATCTGAGGCATTGCTATACTGGAGAAGGAGACTCATTTTGTGTGCTTGGAGTGGGTTGCCTTGAAGAAAGTGATCTCCATTTCACTGGAGCTGTTACTAGAAACTTCTTGTGGTGAAGATGTAGGGCCAGATGGCATTTAAAGTTGCTTTCAGTCCCAGATCCAAAAATGTCTTTGTTGAACTGCTGCAAACAGCCAGGGGCAGGTAGGAAGAGCAGGCAATTCCTATTTTGTGGGACTGTTGCCTCCCTGAAAAGCAGTTCTCTTTGACCTTGTAAGTCTCTCTCTCTCTCTCTCTCTCTCTCTCTCTCTCTCTCTCTCTCTCTGTGTGTGTGTGTGTGTGTGTGTGTGGTAGAGAGGATTGTTGTTGAACAAATATTCACTCAATATCCCCTCTCTCTTCCTCCTCAGGATGGTGTATGCTTATTTGCCTCACTCACTTCCAGCATGGCCATGTAAGCAGTGCACAAAAGTGGGGGTGTGCCCAGGCCTCAAAGGTTTGGGCTTGTCCTCTGGTGCTCCTGCCTTCACCATGAGATATGTATACCTTGTATGAGTCACAGTTCCACGATGGAGAGCTACATGGAGCAGACCTAACCCAAGCCTAGCTGAGTTCAGCCAACCTACGGACCCAAGAGTGAAAAGAAAGAAATGTCTCTTGTAAGCCACTGAGATTTGGGGATTATTTGTTACACAGCAGTATCACAGCCAAGCCTAACTAATGAGTGTTCATGGTTTTTTTTATTGCATGAAACTGCTCCAGTACTCAAGTCTGAGATGCTCACTCTGAGGCATATCATCAAGGAATTGAGCTTTAGTGAGCAGTTTTTCCCCCCTCCAGACTCCTTTCCATGACCTTTTCCTGGAGTGTGCATCTCCTACATCTATAGGACAATTAACCACATGGAAGAATTTTGCCTCCTCCCCAACAAGCCATTCCACAGGTGCTCAGACCTGCCTGTCCCTGACAAGGGCTGTTCTTGTTGTGGTCAGACCTCAGCTTCTTGGGGACAGTGATGAGGCTGGAGCTCACAGAGATGGAGGAGCCTCTGAAGCTGCAGCAGCCGGAGCAGAACGCACAGCTGCAGAGCCCTCTGGAAAGAACAGAGAAGAGAAGTGGACGTCGCAGACCTGAACGAGGATGTTCTCTGTGATGTCAGGTAAGCTGCGTCTCTCCCTCCAACCTACGCAGCACAGACACGCTGGAAAGTGGCTTTTCAAATGCCTTTGACTCTTATCTCTCTTACATCACCCTCTGAAATGAAATCTCAAACACTTTCGTGGGGTTTGATGTGGAGAACAGTAAGCAGATAGAGGTTCAGGCAGAAACAGAACAGGAGTCAAAAGCCCTGGAGTAAAGCATGAATGGGCTTGGAGAGGACATATAAAATAGCAGAGACATTTATACGGGTCTCCCCTACCTCAGAACAAAACAATTATGAGATAAGAGAGGCATGGATGGGAGGAAATTTTTTCATTTTTCACATTGCAGGCTAGAGAGATCCAATAGCCTGTTTATGAAGAACAATAAAGAAGATACATGAACTCAGTAAAGAGGTTGTTACAGATATATCGGGTGGCTTTGAAAGGCCAGGGTTTTCTCCCCCCTTTTGGATAAAGCTGTCAGCTAAGTATTAAAAGAGTTTTTTGCTTTTTTTTTTTCTTTCAAAAAGCAATAACTGGCACTAGCAGTTTGTTACAATTGGCAGAAAGAGTTATCACTTTTATTTAGGATTTGGAAATGCAATCAAAGAGGGGCAGGTTGGAGCGTGAATTAAATGAAGCTTAAACAAGCAAAAAGAAAACTGCTGGTATTTTAAACAAATGAACACAAAAATTACAGCTCCTTGTTGTTGATTTGAAGCTATACAAATTTTGACACTCACACTTGATAAAATGGGGCCAAAGCAGAATGGTTGCTACTTTTGTGTGTGTAAGTCCTGAAAGCTCTGATCGTTTTTAAAAGTAAAAAACCCATTGTTTCTGGAAACTCTGTGGTAGGATCTGACTAGCTTATTGCCTGGGAAGTCACAGTGAAGATTCATTCTGTTGGCTTTGGAGGAAATTATTCTTCCTAGGATAATTTAAATAGACAAGAAGGCTAGGAGGATTGGTTCTGTTTAGCTGCCTGTTTTCACATTTGTTGTGTTTTGTGATTCCTGAATACCAAATTGCCCCCTGAAGTTGTGAAAACATTTCTACCCATGACTTGCCCTCTATTGTGATTTCAACTTTTTTTTTTTTTGCGGTACGTGGGCCTCTCACTGTTGTGGCCTCTCCCATTGCAGAGCACAGGCTCTGGGCACGCAGGCTCAGTGGCCATGGCTCACGGGCCCAGCCGCTCCGCGGCATGTGGGATCTTCCCGGACCAGGGCATGAACCCGTGTCCCCTGCATCGGCAGGCAGACTCTCAACCACTGCGCCACCAGGGAAGCCCCTGTGATTTCAATTTTGTTTGAGTCATCCTCATACAGAAAGTCTTCATGTTCTCTGGTAACTTGCCTTATCTAGCTCACAGCTCTAAGAATCAGAATAGATGCAACAAAAAAGTTCCCTGTGAGAAGATAAGAGAGATGTCACAAAATATTTGCTCTACATCTCAAGCATTTCACCTCTACGTCTGTGGATTCCTTCAAGTTTATTAAATTCCAACTAGAATAGCACTCTTGTTTTTCAAACCCAGATTGAATTAGAAGTGAGGAGAGGTCCTTCTGTGGGCAAGGGCAGTGACCGTCAGCAGTGACAGCAGACAGTCTGGTAATAAGAGACAGAAAAACTACAAAACAGATGAAAAATCAAAGAACTCAGCAGCCTGGTTCTACTTAGTAAAGGGGTAAATATTTGCCCAAGTGTGATGTTTAATTTTATGTGTCAACTTGATGGGTCGTGGGATGCCTAGATATTTGGTCAAACACTAATCTGGGTGTGTTCTGGGTGTGTGAGGGTGTTTTGGATGAGATTAACATTTGAGCTGATAGACTGAGTAAAGCAGACTGCCCTCCCCAATGTGGGTGGGTCTCATCCAATCCGCTGAAGGCCTGAATAGAACAAAAAGGCTGACCCCCCTGTGACGAAGAAGGAATGCTTTTCTTCCTGACTGTCTTTGAACTGGGACATTGGCCTTCGCCTGCCTTTGGACTCAGACTCAGGCTGGAACTTACACCATTGGCTCTTCTGGTTCTCAGGCCTTTGAACTTGGAGTGGAACTTTACCATTCACTCCCCTGGGTCTCCAGCTTGTAAATTTGCAGCTCTTGGGACTTCTCAGCCTCCATAATGTCATTAAGCAATTCCTTATAACCTCTTTCTCTGTCTATCTATCTATCTATCTATCTATCTATTTATCTATCTATCATCTATCTCATCCTATTGGTTCTGTTTTTCTGGAGAACCCAGACTAACAGATCAAGCCTTACTTTGGTCTTGGGGCCACACGTGATGGACTGACAGTGCTCACCTCTGTCATGAAGGGAAGGTACAGGGCTTCTCCTCTTGTCACTTGGGTCTTGGATCAGCTGTCCCCTCCCCTGGACTCTGCCCAGCACTGACACCTGTGTCTGTTCTGTCTGCTCAGGGCTGTGCCTAACTGGCTGTTTCAGACTTTGAGCACCACTTTAGCTTCTAGAATGTGGGCTCTGAGGGACCATGAGTGTCTGGTTCTTTGCTGTCTCCTTGTACCTACACACAGTGACTTATCATATATAAACCCTTGTTGGATGAATGAATGTTCTCTATACCCCTTCACAATGGCATTGAGTAGAAATAGTTGAAGAGTTTTTTCAATAGTGAGAATTTTCTAAGAAGTGTTAGTGTTCAGAGAGAAAACTCTTGAGCTTTGTAAACACCCCTACCTTATCCCTCAGCGGCCCTTTCCTCATCCCTCCCCCTCCCCCCATTAGTGTGAAATGGTGCACTTGGGCATGTTCAGTTGTAGTAAAAGATGTGGTTCAAGGGAACAATGCCAATTGGATCTTATTTCCTCAATGAAACAATGCTACAATAAGGGTACATTCCTTATTCATAACTTTTTATAGAAACACTTGGTATTTAAACCCCGAAGTAGATGTTAGCTTGGAATCAGAGCTGCAGTTGAGTCCTGCTTCTTCCAGCTGATGCTTTGTAACTGTCGGCAAGTCCCTTAACCTCTATAGGTCTCAATTTCTTCATCTGCTAAGTAGGAAAAAATACCCACTTCACAGGGCAGTTGTGAGGATTAAACTCAGTAATGTATGTAAAGTACCTTGTGTATTACCTGGCACATAATAAGTGCTCAATAAATTTTAATTCCCTTTCTCCCTTCTCCTTTCTCCAATTCAGTCAAGGATTATGATAGATGTGTTTCCTGCACAGTGTAAAGCTTTTTAAAGTGCATATAAATCAATTAAATAGGCCAATGCAATAATTGAACATATAACATTTGTTTAAGAGATCCTGGGGAGAGGGACAGAAGATTAGGGGCTTGTGGAAACCTTGAGAGAGCTCCTAGGAGGGGGCTGTTCACATGGGGGATCCTGGACTGTGGCATGTGCCTCTCTGCTCTAAAATCTGTGAGAAAGGGCTGGTGGTGTCATGTGCTGTGACTTATAATTCAGAAGAGTGACCCTGAGTGACCCTGGCTGCTGGGTGGGCCCCCATAGGGAAAGGTAAAATGATCTGAGGAGTCCTTGAAATGGCCATCTGACCTGCCTTCTGAATGCAAGGTTTATGAATTAATCTTCTCAATGAGGGCAGAAGATAAACCAGGTGACCCAGTTCTAAATTTCTCACCACTTGCCTGTTGTGAAGAGAAAGGCACATGTGCAGGCCCCCTTACCCCTCTGGCTGCTTCAGGGCGTGAACCTGGAGGGCAGGACCCTCCAGGCTGTATTTGGAGAACTCCGGGGACACTGTTACCACGGGGTGGAATGCCATGTGCCACAGACAGAGTGGAAGAAGATTGGGAGCTGTAACGGGTGCTCATTCAGTGGCCAGAGAATGGCTTCGAATGTGATTCAGATTCTAGGCAATCTTAAAAAAACTCTAGAGCATCTTTTTCCCTGGAGGAGGGCAGGGCAAATTCTGTTTGCTCACGCACGGTTCCTTGCCTCTCTGTACCCTGGCAGACCCATGTTTTAAAGTGGAATTATAGAAGAATAGAGGAGGAATAGTGGAATAGAGGAGGCGTTCCTCAGGACGAGCCAACCATAGCGTGAGGTTGTCTCTGCCATCCCTCAAGATCAGGCGTGAGGACTTTCTCTTCCTGAAGCATCCCTGCCCGCTCTATCCTGTGCTCTTCCCAAGGACGAGATGGGAGCTGTCTTGGGAGGGTAGGAGTCTATCTCTCTGCAGTTTGTGAGTGTTGGGAGATAATTCTCTGGGGGTTTCTTGCATTCCTGCAAGTCTTGTGAGCAGAGGCACTGATGGCCTTTGTTCTAGATTCTGTCTTTGGGGATATTTGTATAGCACGCAGCCTTGGAAGAAGCAGACAGTGTCTCCCTCTGGGGTGAGGAACAGATGGCAGGTATTTTTACTCTCCAGTAAAGACAATATCTCCCTCAGGCAGGTTTATGCCCATTTTAAAAGGTTCAGGTTTCCTAAGCTTGTATTCCGTCAGCTGTGGAGCAAACCCACTGTGTGTGCAGCATCCCTCTAGGCCCCTCTATGTTGTCCCCATGGGTGGACCAGAGGCACCAATGCAGACGCGATGCTCGTGCTACCTGCTGGACTGTGAGGAATAAAGAGCTTTGTTTCTGATCCAAGGGTCTCATGTTTTCTACCCACATCTGTAAAACTGTGGCTAACTTGTGAGCTTGCAAGAGGATACAATCTGGGACCTTCCACAGCTCTTGGTAGTGAACTCCTCACAGAAGGAGACTAGTTTATTTAAAAAAAAAAAAAAAAAAAAAAAAAAAAGGAGACTAGTGACTGTCCAGAGCTGGGGGCAAGGCTGGATCTGCCCACAGGAGGCCAGTATCATGCCTGGTAACAACCTGGGCAGCAACTTTCTCTCAGTGAACTCTGTCTCTCTGTCTGCCTCTGTCTCTCTGCCACCTTGTCTCCTGGCCTCCCCTGTACCTCCTGTTAGGATTTTCTGCCATCTGTGGGCCTTGTGAGTTGACCGGGGATTTTATCTCCCACGCCTCCCCACCCTTTACCTGGGAATGGATCTCTGGGCTCCAACA